TCCCGGTTACATTCTGTGTAATTATTACATCCCGGTTACATTTTGTGTAATTATTATATCCCGGTTACATTTGCAAATCACTGTTATACAAGTATGTTTTTTCCTAACACCATGTCACTCGCTCTCCTTCATCAGAGTGTTCTGGTCACTGAAGAGCTCTACATCATTAAGTTTGTGACAGTGTTTGAGCATGCTGGACTGAAGTGCAACATCGAGGTCAGTGAACATGAGAGATTACGGAGGAGTTTCAACTTTTCTGCTAAACTTAAAGTATTGGTGGAAAAATGGCGTCGGCTCATTGAATGTTCTCCTCTTGTGTTGGTCCAGGCGAGCTCGCTGCCTGTGGTTGTTATATCTTCTACCAGTCAGGTGTCCAGTGCCTGGGCCTCTGTCATGTGGTGCAACATGCTGTCCACCAGCGAACCATGGGTAAAGCCATCTCACACTCGTGTACTTTTAAAACCATGGTCATAGTCGCGTCCTTGTGAAGGACAGCAGGTTAATGTCTTTTGTATTCAAATCTAATGTTCTGTAGAACCTGTCCTTGTTTGTCAACCCTCCTCCACTCCACTGGGAGAAGCTGTCCCAGGTTCTGAGCTGGCAGTTTTTGTCCGTTGGCCAGCGAGAACTGGATGAAAACCAGCTTTCCATGCTGAAAGACAAAATAGTGGGTGAGTGTTTGGCCAGTCCCTCCAGTAAATCGGTCCATGCCATCGGGGAGGTTGAGGGGGCAACACCCGTTCAAAAACCGCTGAGTAACAACATGTTGTGGGTTTACTGTTTGAAGGCTGGGCGCAGTGACAGGTGACTGTACATATTAATAATGTAAGGATTCCAAACAAAGGAGTCGGTCAGTGATCATGTTTTTAATGTACTAATGGTTCTTGAAATAAATCCTGCACTCATTGTTTGTATAGATGGATGATGTATTAGTTTCAGAGTTCGTTATTTTCATGACATTTGTTATTTAAGTGGTGATTTCTTCACAGATGATCCTGATGGTTTCGTTCAATGGAGCAAGTTCTCCAAGGTGAGAGTAGAGGAGGAATCTTGTCATGCTGCGAGTTCCACAGTTTGTACAGCCTATGGGGCGTAATAAACCCTTTACCTGTTGACATTTTCTTTTCTTTGTGCCAGAATGAAAGTACCTGGATGTGGATTGATGGAATTTTGGATTTGATCAAAAGGCACTTGGTAGATCTTTGGCGTGATGGGTAAGACGCATCATAAATGATCTTGTCAGAGTTTCATTGTATCATCCACAAATAATTACCACATTAATAATGAGACAGTGATCCACTCTTCTGAGTATTACTGTTTGGAATTAGTTAACTAGGAAGCACAGTGACAAAGCCTTGTTATATTGTGTACGTGGGTTTTCAGGTACATCATGGGCTTCGTGAGCAGGGAGAGAGCACGGGTCCTTCTGCAGGAAAGACAGAACGGGACCTTCCTGCTTCGCTTTAGCGAGAGCAGCAAAGATGGAGCCATCACTTTCAGCTGGGTTGATCGCTCCAATGGTGGTATGTTTCTGCACATTAATTTTAGGGCTGCCCCCAAACAGCTAACTGTTGAGTCATTAGTCATGAGACCTGTCAGTCGACTGAGACCCTCCTAGTTGCACCTTTGTTTTTGTTTTATTCTATTTTATTTTTTTGTCAGTCAGTGTGCATTACAATAGAAGACAGCCACAGCCTGTTAGTTTGTCATCTTTTCTCCTCGTTTTGGTTTGCCAAGCAGCAGTTTGCTCAATACTCCCCCTGTGGTCGGAGGGGGTGGGGGGTTGGGATAATACCCGTTTCAACGGTGACACTGCAATACATGGCTGTACATTAAGGTCAGATTTATTTAGCAAATTGCAGAATGAGGAGTAAAGGACAACAAAACCTATTAGGACAAGATGCATAAAGGTGAGATTTGTACTTTATTAGAAGTCTTTTCAAACATTGTGGTCTGCTTTTACAAGAGAAAAGATTTGAATGGTCATGACGAAGTGACTGGTTTTGCATATGTGCCTCCGGTTTGTTTGCCCGGCTCTGTTCAAGTGTAATGCACAGCTGTTTACCGACTGTTTCTGTCACATGTATCCATCTCCAAGGAATTTTAAACATGCCGTGGTGCAGCCACTGATTAAGAAACCTGGTCTGGATCCTACGGTGCTTTCAAATTTTAGGCCCATTTCAAATTTACCGTTCCTTTCCAAAATCCTCGAAAAGATAGTTTACACTCAGTTACTGGCCTTCTTAGATGAGCATAGTATTCTTGAGATAATCCAATCAGGGTTTAAATCCCTGCACAGCACTGAGTCAGCGTTGATAAAAGTTTTAAATGATATTTTTCTGGCAACTGATTCTGGGAACTGTGTTGTCCTAGTGCTCCTAGACTTGACCGCCGCTTTTGATACAATGGATCATGATATTTTTATTTCTCATTTAGAGCACTGGGTGGGTATTCGAGGTTTAGCCCTAGAATGGTTCCAGTCTTACCTTAAGGATAGATCCTTTTGTGTGAAGCTTGGGGATGCTGTGTCTTCTTCTGAGCCCCTTTTGTATGGGGTTCCGCAAGGCTCAGTTCTTGGACCCCTTCTTTTTTCCCTTTTATCTTCTCCCACTCAGCTCTATACTTAGGAAACATGGCATCTCCTTTCATTTTTACGCAGTTGATAGCCAGCTTTATTTACCGGTTAAAAAGGCAAATTCTTGTGTTAGGACACTGCTTGAATGTTTTGATGACATTAAATCTTGGCTTGCTTTAAATTTTTTGAAGCTGAATGAGAAGACTTAGGTGATAGTGTTTCTGCTGGGTCACCCTCTATTGACTTGGGCTTTTTGGCTCAATAACAAGAAATGAGAAAACCCACTAGGACAAGCCAAAAAAGATGAGATTTGTGTTTTCTCAGAAGAAAAAATTGTCTATAAGAGCACTGTTTCAACAGAAATACAAGTGTGCCTCCTGTCTCGTTATTCCAACAAATCCAACATTTTCACACTGTAATAACAGTCAAATCAAAGTTTGCCTGGTTGTCTCAGGCACAGCTGACATCACACCCACTAACAGATGAAGATTGTAGCATGAGTACAAAGAGCTATGTTGTTTTTACATGTTTGTTTTCTTGTCAAACAGCCTACTTCTCAGTTGGTGTTAGATAGCTTAAGATAAAAACCGCCCAAATAATCATGAACTGAGAACACATGATGTACAGATGATCAGTCTTTTTGGTCATAGTATAACAGACTGCTGCTTTTGCTGTCCTGACACGTTTTCAGCAGCGGGTGACAGATGCTGGTCTTTGTGTGCTGATGTCTTTCTCTGCATGTTTCCCCTGTAGAGACCTATGTGCATGCAGTAGAGCCCCGCACCAAGAAGGAGCTGTTGGCCATGTCTCTGCCAGACTTGATTTACCTGTACAGTTTTAGAGCTGCGGGCCAGATGATCCGGAGTCCTCTGCTCTACCTTTACCCAGACATCCCCAAAGATGATGCCTTTGGACGCTACTACACAGTCTCTGGTATTGTCTCTTGCTTGTCTTTCACAGGGAGAATCAGAATCACTTTATTCAAGTGCAGCAAATAGAGAACAGGAATTTGTTTCCAGATGGTGATAGTTTTTTTTTTTCTGTGTCAAGACCAGTGCTCCAAGTGGGAAGAAAAAAGTGGTGGTGGTTATTTATTACATTTACACCTTGTTGTGCTGCCCCTAATTGTCCAAAAACACTAAGTTTAAATAAGATATACATGACATAATAATTATAATCATAGTCCTAATATTTACTTGTTAATTACAGGCATTATTAACTGCAGGTAGTCAGTCAGACCGCTGCACAGTCTGTACACGGCCTACTGTCCATCAGTTCTGTGCACTGCTGATCTGAGGGGGCTCATGTCTGTGATACTGTATTAGATGCTTCTTCAAGTCAGAAAAAGTTGGGACAGTATGTCAAATCAAAACTAAAACTGAAAATAGTGATCATTTCATTTAAGTGAAGACTTTTAATGCTCAACGCAACATTGTCCAAAAGAGTTGCTAACATCACTGAACGGCGTAAACAATATTGACAGCACCATAACTCATCATAACTCATTTGACTGACAAATAATAATTTGGTGCCAAAGGACGGTGGGACACCTGTTTAGCTATTTGTTTGAATTGCACTTTGAGGAGGTTTACTGAGTGACATTCTGTTGTATAACCTATTTATCTTGCATGAATTGTAGGCTACTATATATTCTCTAAACCTTTAGACAAACTACTCAGAATCGGGGAGTGAGCCACTGGTAGCTCTCGAACGATGTGTTGGAGACTCCTGATTTATAGCTGATGTTTGCCTTTCAAACACTGAGACTATTTAGGCTACTGTAAGTCTGTGTGACAGAATCATACTACTCTACCCATACTGTTCAACCCTGTAATGATGTCTAATCACCTCTGTTCATGCAGAAATGTCGAAGAATGCAAATGGATTATTACCCATAATAATCACTTCTGTCTCAGAGTAAGTAAGACAATAATTAAAAGTTCAGGAATAAATACTTTGCACATGGATGGATTATTGAACAGGCCTACCGGGCACAGTCCAAGGGTCTCAAGAGTTCAGGGAGCCCCCCGGGCCAGAGCCTTGGTTAGACGGGACTGTTAGCATTTCCTGTTGGAATGTCATTCAACAACAAATAGTTGCAAAATAGGCCCAACACAGATGCAAAGAGATGCAAAATAAGCACATGCAGCGCATCCTCACAGACAAACAAGTAGAAGAATCAACTTTATTGGTAAGGTGTGTTGGACACACAAGGAAACTGACTCTGGTACAGTGGCTCTCAATGTGTAAAACATACACAAGCAAAATAACTCAAAATAAATGAAACACAACCAAAAACAGTCACAGACCAACTATGAAGAGATGCAAAAAGGCCTCAACTAACAATATATAGCTGTGCCCAGGGGCCATGTCTCAAAATCTGTCCATGGCTTTGGATTATAAATATTTGACAATTCTTTATTGTTACATGTTGCGTGTGAAAAATTTGCCTTCATTTATTTATTTATTTTCTCTCTGTACAGGTATCCTACACCACCACCATCTCCACCTATGGAAATGAACATGGACATTGACACAGATGCAAATGTGAGTCCCTACACTTGTCTAAACCTGCACACACTGATATTTTTGGCCACCTGGGGGCAGCTGAAGAATCTGCTAATAGTGATGGCGAGATGAAGCCTCATTCGACGCTTCCCAGGCAGTAGTTGCACTACAAGGTTCAGCTCACGAAGCCTCGTTTAGGAGCTCGTTATTACTACTGACATCCAGTGGACACATTTGGTGTAGCAAACAGATCCTGACATCACAAGCTCCATGCTGCCCAACACTATTATTATGAATATGGAGTCACTAAAAATGGTGCACTCCTCACCGACAGTTGTCAATGAGGTTATAATTAAGCTATACCTATGACGGACAGTTTTGTGGGGTGTAAAAATGCTTAATGGGCAACTGTGATTCAGTGGGTAGAGCAGTCATCTCCCAACCAGAGCGTCGGAGGTTTGAACCACAGTGCCTGCAGTACACATATTGAAGTGTCCTTGGGCAAGACACTGAACCCACAAGTTGTCCCTGATGGTTAGATCCATCGGTGTGAGTTGGCACCGCAGATGCCTGTCTCGGTTCTGTACCGTAAACAAATTCCTTGTGTGTAACATACTTGGCCAAATAAAGGTGATTATTATCCTTATTAAATGACCAATGTGCTTGTGTAACTGATGGGGGTATTTGTTAATGATTTTATTTAGAAATAATAGTCGACCCAAAATGTTCACAAACAGGTCCTTTTTGTTTGTGGCTCTGTTTTATAAAAGACGCTGTCTGACCAGTGCCATGCTACCAGCGGTGCGCAGTACTGATAGTAGAGGAACCATCCATGTGAACGAGCCCTTACTCATTCCACTCGACATGCAAGATGTATCATTCACATGACTCTGGCAGATAGAGGCCTTGTTTGTCATTGGTCACATGACAATTAGGGAAACGCCACAAGCTTGAAGCAAGGCTTCAATTGGAAAGGCCCCTTCTGGTTGACGCAAGCTTCGAAGCTTTGGTATTACACCTAACATCACTGCTAACACAACATGCACACGATCAGCCTGTAGACTTGTTGCCTCCAGCAACACATCTTACGAGCACTCATGCAGCGTCATGCTTCTGGCCACCTGACCAATTTAAAATTCGGTACTTCTCCCACAGGGTGCTTCTCCTCCCTGGGTTCTGCATGATGAACACCTGTCACATGATCATGTGACCCTTTAATATGAAAATATAAGTGTAGTCTCACCATTTCAGTAGTCTCAGCTTTATCATGGATGCCAATTGTTTGATTTTCCTTGTTTGAGTAAAAGTTGACCTCTGCTGTTAACGTAAACAAAATCTTATTGTTTCCTTGTAGATGGAGTTTGATCTGATGCTTCAGGCAATCTTGGATGTTCTCTCATGATCTCTTACCTGATCCCCTAAATCTTATTGTTTCCTTGTAGATGGAGGCTGATCTGCTGACTCAGGAACTCTATGATGATCTCTGCACCTTACCTGGATTCCCTTTGTCCTGAGTACCTTACCAAGACACACCACCAATTCAGGACAATGTTGGTGATCTTAGTAATTCCTGAAAATGGGACTAGACATTGGGCTGGAATGGGAACTCTCACTTATCAAATACAAAGTCTGTTTTGATGCAGGTGTTTGTACAATAAAGAATCGAATGGAACAAGGTCACTTAGTATAAAAAATGTAACAAGCAACGATAATTGTACACAGTATGAGCACAGTACTGGGTAAGAATGACAGTTCTCTAAAGTACATGTTCTTTTGTTTATTAAAATAAACATTTGCATTCTACTGTCAGAGAAACATCTGGATTATACAGTACAGAACCTATAAGTATAACTTTATTTATGCAGCAAAAAGGACAAACACATTCAACTGTCCTATGTCTCAACTGCTTGTTCTCAGTTTCCTGCTAGAAACTGTCCTGACCCCCAACATCAGCCTTCTCAAACATCCAGCATATGAATTCTGTGCTGAAAAAATACCAACATACTATCAGAAGAAACATTGCATCAGAAAGTCAAAGAGCTCCATTTCTGTACACTATATTCTTTTGGACCTGCTCATATTTTCATCACTTCACCGACAGTAAGTGGGGTCCCATAAGTAACCAGTGGTTTACCTGGTGAATCATATATAACTCAGTTTACATGTGCCATAAAAGTGAGCTGGGACATTTACTGTAAAAATTACCACTGCAAAACTAACACTGTCTTTTAAAAGTTGTAATAAATGGTGTGATAAACATTATACGTACTGTTAGCACTGCCAGTGTAGGCATGTTAGCATGCTCTCATTGTTGTTGACTGGAAAAAGATTTTGCTGGTTGCTTGTGACAGTAAGGAGGCTGTCAGTATTGCTCAGGGCTGGTTTACTTGAAAATGAAGAACCTCTGACTAGAGGAAGACTGATTTTGAGGGACTGATTAATCTGCGTTGGTCTGTAGTAATGCCAGTGACTGTTCCTGAATTCCTAGGCTTAAGTCATTCAACATATGTTGCACACATGTGTAATGCATCAAATGCCAACCATACAAATCTCCAATTCATCATCAGCTACAACAAAAAAGTGACACATAAAAAGGAGTTTCCATCTGCTGAGGATAAGGAGACATCAGGACGATTTGGAAGGGGAAAAGAGTTAAAGAGACAGTAGGACTAAGTCTTTACTCACCTCACTGCAATTAACATTTATCACTTCTTGCCTTTTTTAAACAGTTTAAATGTTTTATTCAGCTTCTATCATTTAAATTAGGTGCTCAGTTGTACGTCTGACTCTCCCCATGTTCCTGACATTTGTCATGTCAGGGACTCGATCAAAAATCTAATACTTTGTCCCTCCACTTTGGACTTTGTGCTTGCTCTTATTGGCTACTATCAACACATCAGTCACACATATTCTTTTAAATTCCACTTTTCTAGAAATACAGTCTGAAAAATGGACTCGGAATGTTACAGCGTAACTTGCAGCCTGTGTGTCAACACTTTTTCTTCAGTTCAGGCTACAGTTAATGCACAGCTCACTGTATATATTGTCTAAATGTAATGAGGCTACATTCAGTATATGTTTACACTACATCAATAGACCGATTTAGATTCAGTATGAGCGAAGCAGCATAAAAACCTCAAATCTAAAGCACTGGGATCATCAGGTGGGAAGGAAAAAGACAAAATGAGAACATTTGCTTGCTGGCAATATTGACGAGAAGGGATGGAAGACGTCAGGGGAAAGCAGATGAAAAACAATGTTCAGATGACTATGCCACTATAAAATACAGTCAGAATACAATCGATCAGCAGCTTCAGACGAGAAGTGAAGCTTCATGAAACCTGCCAGTGACCTGGCAGGAGTCAGGAGGGAATCTGTGAATGATGCAGGTCTAAGGAGATCAGACAGGCACATCACTGCAGCATCAGCACGAAGCCTGGCAGCTTCTACATGGTTACACAAGCTGAGACACAGCATAGAAATTCTATCATTTGCACACAGCTGACTATCTCACCACACTGACACAACTATAACCATGGAGAGAAGTTTGGAAACGAAACTGTGCTAGAACTAAACAAATATCCTGTGAGAGCACAGTGCGTTTTTTTCAGTACGGACAGATTAAGAGTAATAAATTGTAAATATAGCATTAAAGATATCGTATTGTATCTGTTTGAACAGCACTGATTAAGTAGCTTGCTCACACATTAAACACATTACACTGTGATAGAGGGGAGGAAGTGATATAGAGCAAGGAAGCAAAGCACGCCAGATGAGACACGGCAACGGAGAAAGGCAAATAACTAACGCATCACACATGTCACACATCTGAGCACTAACGTACAAACTTATTCCACTGCGGCAGGTCTGCTACAGGCTGCTGTCCACACCCTTCTCGGTGCTCTCCTTGCCATCAGCAGCAGCAGGTGGGCTGGATTTGTTGTGGTACTGCTGCAGGATGGCGATGACCTCTTGGTGGCCAAACTGCACCGCTTCATCTATGGGTGTGTTCCCCCATCTGAACAAAGATATTATTACATAATACTATTAATATATTTAAAGAACTGATTGTCCTGTGTGCACGATTTGTACTGTATCTCCTGCATAATTACACCAAGCAAAACATCTTTTGTACTTTTAGCCAATAATCCCATGAAACGGGAAACTAAATGAAGAACTACAAAGTGAAGGAGACCCGTCACATATTCAAAAGTATTACTATCAAAACATACTTAAAATTATCAGATAAATGTAGTAAAAGTAAAATATTTGTGTCTTAAATGAAAGTGAAAATACTAAAGTACAGATGCTGCTAAATTATACAGGGCAGTAAAGTAGGCTATAGGAGTAAATGAGTTAGTTTCCACCTACTTTCAAAAAGAAGAAAAAAGTGTGTTTGATTGGCTGGTTGTTGATTTACTACAGATCCACATATTCTTGGGCATGAATGCCCAGTAAGATGCAGAGAGAGAGCGAGAAAGAGAGAGAGAGAGAGAGAGAGAGATGGTCAGACAGACCGCGCTGAGGATGGGGACTCCAGACTCACCTGTCTTTGGATAGTGGGTCCGCCTTGCACGCCTCCAGCAGGAAGCGGACCGCCTCTGTGTGTCCTGAAAGCAGAGCATGTGCTGGACTTATATACAGTACATGCATGTGCACTCACACATGCAGCGCTGTACAGACACTGTGACAGCCTAAACTGTGAATACACTTTGTTCTGATTAACTGTGGAGTGGTGCAAAATCAGTTCAGATAAATACACAACTTGATGTAGTCATGGCTGCTCACCTTATGAAAAACTACAAATGGCAGGACAAACCAACATCAAATGTCCCAGTAAGGTGCTGGGGGCCACCATGCGCCACCAGAACAGCTTCAGTGCACCTTGATACTGATTCTACAAGTCTCTGAACTCTACAGGAGGATGAACACTGTTCATGCAAAAGAGATTTCCTGGTGTGGTGGAGACGCTGTCTAACATCTTCCATAGGTGTTCAACTGGGTTGAGGTCTGGTGACTGGGAAGGCCACAGGATATGAGTCAGCTCATGATCATCCTCATCAAACTATTCAGTGACCCTAGTGTCCTGTGGACAGGGGCACCGTCATCCTGGAAGAGACCACTCACTTATTCGAGTTTTCCTTTCCTTTGTAAATGATCATACTTGTAAAGCGCTTTTCTATGCATTGCAGCAACCAGGGGTTGAGTGTCCTGCTTGAGGACACTTTGACACGTGGAACGGAGAAGCCAGGAATCGAACGGCCAACCTTCCGGTTACAAGACGACCTGCTCTACCCCCTGAACTGCAGCTGCCCCCATATTGGTCAGTGTCTGTAGTGCATGTGGCCAACAGTAATATCAGGTCGACTGTAGGCTGCATGTTACCTTCAGCTGCTGCCACATGGAGGGCTGTCCTGGAGTCATAGTCCTTCTGCTCCATGTCCATGGATGACAGTGCAAACCTACACATACACACACATACTTTGCTTTACTGACCTTTTAAAAACTATTTTAATCACATTCTTTAAAGAGGAATGCTCAAACTGCCTTATGCAGCTAAGAGGAGGAAGCATTATTAAGAAACAAGTCTAGTTTACATGTCAAGGACTCGGACCAGGGTTAAAAAAAGTGAAATAAACCTGAATTCATCTCTGGCCAACATCAGAAGCGTGTGAGCTGCTCACCTCCTCAGGGCAGAGACGTTTCCTGTGTAGGCGGCGAACAGCAGGTGGATGACAGACTTCACCTGCAGACAGACACAATGTTTGCAGAAGGAGCACAGTCATCTTCATCACCTTCACCACTGCACCACAGATTCCAGCAGCTATAAGATACTACTACCACGCTTGGCTGTTATTTCCAGAAGGGACTAATTAGGTTACACGTTGGGTCTAAAGTCATTTATTTGCACATAAGCATCTTAAGCTGGGTATTACATTACCACCGTATAATGACAAAAACTGATCAAGATGTGTTCTGAAAAGAAAAGCTACTTATTTAATAGTGGAAGAGCCTTCACCTCAGCTAACTACAGCTACTACACTTACATCTGCTGTACAGTTATGAAAACAATTCAACATAACAGATGAATATTGTGAACACAGAGATCCCTGCATCCACCAAGACTTACCGTCAGTCAGGAGGGAATCATTTCCTATAAGCAAAACTTGAAGTCTTGAATTCTCATAAAGAAACAACGCAAATGTAAAAGCAATGAGAATCCACTTAAAATAGCAATACAAGGTAGTATCTGAATATATTACACTGCTAACAGTGTGATGTGATTACGGCTACAATGCAGTGGCGATTAATCTCCATAATATTGTTAACGTGTTAACTGGCTGATCTACAAAACAAAACCTGACAAATCTCAAACTGAATAGTTTAAATTGTTTGTTCTAACCAGTAGTTAAACACAGATATTCAGTTTTCTCTCACAAAGGACAACGAAAACCAGCAAATATTCATATTTTGCAGTTAGAATCACTGAATTTCTAAAAAAAATACTTGATTATTGTTGTAGAGTATTTTTGCATTGATCAGCTGACTTCACTGGCTAATCGTTATTCTGGAGGATGAGAGAGACTAACCAAACTCAGAAGACACAGAACAACTCTGGATTTAAAGATGCAAAACGTGGAGCGAGGTGAGGGGTGAGGGGCAGCGAAGCAGCCAGCAGAGGAAAACTCAACTAACATGGACCAGTTCAGGCAAACGTAGTTTCCATATTTAAATGTGTTGCATTGTGTTCAGGTCTCTAACTCTCAGTAACTGTGTGGGCAGTAGCAGCTGGTGTTTATATGTGAGCACCACAGGGTCCTGAACCGCAGTCTCACACTACAGAATAATTACATGGACTTTTCAGTGTATTCTTACAGTGCCTTGCTAAAGTATTCGGCCCCCTTGAACTTTGCGACCTTTTGCCACATTTCAGGCTTCAAACATAAAGATATAAAACTGTAATTTTTTGTGAAGAATCAACAACAAGTGGGACACAATCATGAAGTGGAACGAAATTTATTGGATATTTCAAACGTTTTTAACAAATAAAAAACTGAAAAATTGGCCGTGCAAAATTATTCAGCCCCCTTAAGTTAATACTTTGTAGCGCCACCTTTTGCTGCGATTACAGCTGTAAGTCACTTGGGGTATGTCTCTATCAGTTTTGCACATCAAGAGACTGAAATTTTTGCCCATTCCGCCTTGCAAAACAGCTCGAGCTCAGTGAGGTTGGATAGAGAGCGTTTGTGAACAGCAGTTTTCAGTTCTTCCCACAGATTCTCGATTGGATTCAGGTCTGGACTTTGACTTGGCCATTCTAACACCTGGATATGTTTATTTGTGAACCATTCCAATGTAGATTTTGCTTTATGTTTTGGATCATTGTCTTGTTGGAAGACAAATCTCCGTCCCAGTCTCAGGTCTTTTGCAGACACCATCAGGTTTCCTTCCAGAATGGTCCTGTATTTGGCTCCATCCATCTTCCCATCAATTTTAACCATCTTCCCTGTCCCTGCTGAAGAAAAGCAGGCCCAAACCAGGATGCTGCCACCACCATGTTTGACAGTGGGGATGGTGTGTTCAGGGTGATGAGCTGTGTTGCTTTTACGCCAAACATAACGTTTTGCATTGTTGCCAAAAAGTTCGATTTTGGTTTCATCTGACCAGAGCACCTTCTTCCACATGTTTGGTGCGTCTCCCAGGTGGCTTGTGGCAAACTTTAAACGACACTTTTTATGGATATCTTTAAGAAATGGCTTTCTTCTTGCCACTCTTCCATAAAGGCCAGATTTGTGCAGTATACGACTGATTGTTGTCCTATGGACAGAGTCTCCCACCTCAGCTGTAGATCTCTGCAGTTCATCCAGAGTGATCATGGGCCTCTTGGCTGCATCTCTGATCAGTCTTCTCCTTGTATGAGCTGAAAGTTTAGAGGGACGGCCAGGTCTTGGTAGATTTGCAGTGGTCTGATACTCCTTCCATTTCAATATTATCACTTGCACAGTGCTCCTTGGGATGTTTAAAGCTTGGGAAATCTTTTTGTATCCAAATCCGGCTTTAAACTTCTCCACAACAGTATCTCGGACCTGCCTGGTGTGTTCCTTGTTCTTCATGATGCTCTCTGCGCTTTAAACAGACCTCTGAGACTATCACAGTGCAGGTGCATTTATACGGAGACTTGATTACACACAGGTGGATTCTATTTATCATCATTAGTCATTTAGGTCAACATTGGATCATTCAGAGATCCTCACTGAACTTCTGGAGAGAGTTTGCTGCACTGAAAGTAAAGGGGCTGAATAATTTTGCACGCCCAATTATTCAGTTTTTTATTTGTTAAAAAAGTTTGAAATATCCAATAAATTTCGTTCCACTTCATGATTGTGTCCCACTTGTTGTTGATTCTTCACAAAAAATTACAGTTTTATATCTTTATGTTTGAAGCCTGAAATGTGGCAAAAGGTCGCAAAGTTCAAGGGGGCCGAATACTTTCGCAAGGCACTGTAAAAATTACTGCAGGTAGTGCAATGTAGGCCTAACTTCACAAAGGTTTATTCAGCTACTGTACAATGCTGACAAAATACTAAAGTACAGCTAAAGCTTATATATGTAAGGCTCCTGACAAAGGATCTCCCAGTTCTCCCAGGTCATTTTTCACAGAAACACCTTTTTATATTACAGTCCACACCAACAACACAGTAGTTTTGGAAAATAACTAAGTACATTTACT